GACATAGAGAAAGTCCGGACCCCTCCCCTGGATCTAATGAACTTACAGGGAAGGCCCCTGGCCCAGGCCAGGAGCAGGCTGGGGGGCTGGAGCGATTCACCCCACGCTCTGTATGGAGATGCCCAGCCTGGCGGAGGCAGAGTCGCTCCAGACCCCACCGGGGTTACTGGGGAGGGACCTTTGTGGCCGGGTGACTCTGGGGAGAGCAGAGCAGCTTGTCTGGCAAGAGCTGCAGCATTGATTTGCCCCCCCTGGCCATGTGCAAGGTGCTGCTCAGACAGGGACGGAGACGCTGTCCCTGCCCTGGGAGCTACGCCCCGGCACCGGCTCCATGCAGAGGGCAGGGCGCTGGGAAGAGAAGCTTCTGGCTTGGTCTGTGGTTGAAGCTGGAGACTTTGTGAGTCGCTGCCATGGAGGGCTGGGGCCGACGCTGACCGTTCTGCCAGCCTGGCTCTGTCAGCTCAGAGCGTGAGGATGTCATCCCGATCGATGTTGCTGTGCTGGTGTGACGAAGTGGGACTGTTCTTAATGTTTCCTCTGAATACTGTAGGGGTGCCTCAGTTTCCCCGATGCATTTCTTAAGTCTCTAGGTGGTGGGATAAAGGCCAGTGCACATAAATGGCCGACACTCTGTCTCCTGGCAACTAATGGCCAGGCCCTTCTCCCCCCTGCAAGGGGATGCTAAAGGTGTTGGAGAACAAAGTCCAGGTGATCTCCTGGCCCTGGAAAGCAACAAAGCCCAGAGGAGGAGGGGCTGGAGGGTGAGTCAGTTTGGGGCTGGCTGGGGACATCGAGTGAAGTGCAGAGGTCATTGTCTAGCATAGCTCAGTGGTTTGAGCATTGGCCTGCTAAACCCAGGGTTATGAGCTCAATCCTTAAGAGGGCCATTTAGGGATCTGGGGCAAAATCAGTACTTGGTCCTGCTAGTGAAGGCAGGGGGCTGGACTTGATGACCTTTCAGGGTCCCTTCCAGTTCTAGGAGATAGCCAGGTCCATTTTAAATTAATGGAGATATCCTAAGGGGTCCTGTTCTCTGTACCTACAAGCTCTGTTTTAGACCATGTTCCTGTCATCTACTAAACCTCTGTTTTACTGGCTGGCTGAGAGTCACGTCTGACTGCGAAGTGGGGGTGCAGGACCCTCTGGCTTCCCCAAGACCCTGCCTGGGCGGACTCGCTGTGGGAAGCGCACGGAGGGGCATATACTAAATGCTCCAAGGTCAGACCCAGGAAGGTGAAGCCGTGTGAGCTTCTTACCCTGAAGACAGCCTGCTCCATGGGAGAGGAGGCTCCCCAAAGTCCTGACTGGCTTTGTGGGGAGCAGTTCCAGAGCATCGCCCGGGGACTCGGTGTCAGCCGGCAAAGCCCCAGCGTGGATGTGGTTATCCCGGGTCAAGGGGCTGTAGCCAGGACAGTGTGTTGCCTCCAGGGCACTGGTGTAAGGTACGCTGCCAGACGCACCCTCTGGTCAGCTCAGCGGCATCTCACGAGCAGGGTTAGCTGGTGACGATTTCCCCTCTCTCCGTGGGGAAGCGGAGCTCAGACCCCAGCTCAGAAGAGAGGAGTGGGAAGGTGGGAGGTGCGGGGGGATAACTCGCGGCCTTTGGAGGAAACTGGGGGCTCTGGGAACTGACTGAGGAGGCCAGATGGGGAGAGAGAGGCAGAGCCTGAACATGGAGTTCCCTACAGCGCGGCTGGGCACTGGGCTGGCCAGATGGACGACGCTCCAACCGTCAGTTCTCTGGGCTCCCCTAAGGGCTCCCTGTGCTGTATCCAGGTGACTGACAGACCAGACTGTTCCAGCAGCGCTGGGTGAGTGTCACAGCTCCACAGGGTCGGTGCTACAGCCCCAGCTTTGGAACGGTCTCTAGGAGGAACCTGCCAGTGGGCCGGACCCCTCACTCTTCCTCCACCGCCTCCCCAGACTGAGCCTCTGGGCCTGCAGCCCCCCCTGCGTCACCCCGTGAGCTCTGCTCAGTGAGTCCCACTGAGACGGACCCTGACGGAGACCTGTCCACTCCTCAGGGATTGATGCACCTCACCCAGCATCTGCAGTGACCCTCACCCAGCGCTGCCAGAAGAGAAATATTT